ACCAAAAATACTTTATAATATACGATTTTAACCAACTTTTTTTGGATTTGCCAAAATGACCAATAAAATCGCAACGCGATATCAAAATCGCAACGCGATTTAGAAAATCGCAACGTTAAAAAGAAAATCGCAACGGTCAAAAGAAAATCGCAACGCGAGCTTCCAAGTTCGCAACGCGATTTAGAAGAAAATCGCAACGCGAGCTTCCAAGTTCGCAACGCGATTTAGAAGAAAATCGCAATGCGATTGATAGAATCGCAATGCGATTGATAGAATCGCAATGCGATTGATAGAATCGCAATGCGATTGATAGAATCGCAATGCGATTGATAGAATCGCAATGCGATTGATAGAATCGCAATGCGATTGATAGAATCGCAATGCGATTGATAGAATCGCAATGCGATTGATAGAATCGCAATGCGATTGATAGAATCGCAATGCGATTGATAGAATCGCAATGCGATTTATATAATCGCAATGCGATTGAGAGAGTCGCAACGCGATTTAGAAGAAAATCGCAATGCGACTGAGAGAATCGCAATGCGATTTATAGAATCGCAACGTTGAAAATAAAATCGCAACGGTCAAAAGAATAGTTAAAAAAAATTTGTTTCTTAAGAATTTTCTCTAAAAAGATAGTATCCGCGCGGACGTGTCGAAGACACGTATGACCACGACCACGACCACGACCACGACCACGACCACGACCACGACCACGACCACGACCACGACCCGACCCGAGACGAGACGGCGGCGGCAGCGCGCGAGAGTCCCCCTTGTCCTCTTTCACTCAACAAGGAAGTGCAAAATACAAGCCTTAAATATAATTCCCAATAGTGTTTCCAATACTATGTGGGATTGAGCATTACCAACACTTGTTCCCAATATCATTATTCTTCATAAGTTATCATCCATCACAATATGAATTATCGATAATAAATTAATTCATTTTAATAAGTATTTAAAATTATAACTTGATAAATACATGAAATAATTCTATTATTAAATAAAAAATATATTTTTTATATTAAAATTATTGAGATAGATATTTATTATAAAGTAAAAGATTTTTTTTTCACGTACAACCTCTATGTGAATTAGTTTCACAATAAGGTATCGGTTATGCATTGGATTCTTTCGTATTAGATGGTCTTTAATAAGATCATCATCATCATTCTTTTGTTCAACAATACCATATATTAATGAGGTATATTGGTTCATTAACACGACTAATTCATATTGTAATGGATGATAACTTATGAAGAATAATGATATTTGGAACAAGTGTTGGTAATGCTCAATCCCACATAGTATTGGAAATACTATTGGGAATGGTATTTAAGGCTTGTATTTTGCACTTCCTTGTTGAGTGAAAGAGGACAAGGGGGACTCTCGCGCGCCGCCGCCGCCGCCGTCTCGTCTCGGGTCGGGTCGTGGTCGTGGTCGTGGTCGTGGTCGTGGTCGTGGTCGTGGTCGTGGTCGTGGTCGTGGTCGTGGTAATACGTGTCTTCGACACGTACGCGCGGATACTATCTTTTTAGAGAAAATTCTTAAGAAACAAAATTTTAACTATTCTTTTGACCGTTGCGATTTTCTAAATCGCGTTGCGACTCTCTCAATCGCGTTGCGACTCTCTCAATCGCATTGCGATTCTATCAATCGCATTGCGATTTTCTTCTAAATCGCGTTGCGAACTTGGAAGCTCGCGTTGCGATTTTCTTTTGACCGTTGCGATTTTCTTTTTAACGTTGCGATTTTCTAAATCGCGTTGCGATTTTGATATCGCGTTACGATTTTATTGGTCATTTTGGCAAATCCAAAAAAAGTTGGTTAAAATCGTATATTATAAGGTATTTTTGGTCACTGAGGCGATTCTCTCTATTTAAATAGTTAGGGACGGAACTAATGGAGGCGTAGGAGGGATCCTCCAAATTTTTTAGGTTAACTTTTTGTTAAAATCATATAAGTTTTGATATTAGTTAAATTAAATTTTATTTTTCAATTTCGTTGGTCTAATTATGTATTAAATCTTATCAATGTTGAAGTTAATCAAATTAGGCTCTAGCTCCATTTTTTTCTAATACAAAATAAAATTACAATTAAACATGGTCTATTATATGATTATATTCATTATAGTCAAAATGCATACACCCAATATATACAACTGATTGTATTCATTATTTTCTAATAAAATAATACTCATTTTAGTCATTAAGATTGTTTTGTGGGTTCTATCATTTTTTTCTTAAATATGCAGAAATACTTTTTTTTTGGAAAAATAGTTGTTCTTTTAAACAAATTTTATTATGTTATTTTCCTATATAATAAAAAAATCAGTGTATAAAATAAAATAAAATAAACGAATTTGATATAATAAAACCAGTGTATATAGGAAGACAATATGGTATGGGTGAGTCAACTGTCGTGCTTTTGCAGAATTGCAGTCGGCTTTTGAATTTCTTATTTTTCATGTTTTTGGCCTGTGTCTCGCTTCTTTTGAATTTTTTTCATTAAAATTAAATTTTTAGTATTTATAATATTTTATTTTATTATCAACTTGTGCTTACTATTGTTTTACAAAAAATTTGAATATAAGTAAGCTTACGTTTATCGCATCCAATAATTTTTTTTGCCAAACAAAATTTAAATTTACATCCATATAAATAGTAAATTCGTAACTTTTAATTTATACAAAAAATAAAATATTTATTTTTATTTGCATTTCGATTCAAAAAAAGGTAAATTATACTTATAATCACTAATATTTTAATAGTTTTTTATGTTGAAAAATAACGTTTAATAACACGACTAAGAAAAAGTCCATGAAACCGGATTCCTCTTATGTATTTGGGGGAACAATTTTGGAACAAACAATTGAAAATCTCCGTTAAAACCTGAAAATTAAAACTTTTAAATAATTTATAGGATATAATATATTATTTATAATAATCGATATCCGATCTATTAATTGACTAATTCGGATCGAATAATGTAGAGGTTAGAGTGACACACCAATCCAGTTTACTTCATTCACAAACTCTAGGATTTAAACTCATAACTTTACTTAAAAGATCTAGTACATCGTCTCACTAAACTAACTTATTGTTGGTAGAAAATATTAAATGTTTAAATATATTTCATCTAGTATCTTTTATAAATTATATCAACGACAATATAAATTGAGTTAATATTAATTAATAATTAAAAAGTAAATAATTTAATTAATATTTTAACTATACTTTTAAGGTGTCATCTATTTAATTTAATTGAAGTACACTGTATAGTACATATATTTATAATAAATTGATAATATTAATGAATATAATATAATATTTCGATTTTTAGTTATCAAATTTAGTAGTAGTGACTATAAATGTAGCTTATTGATAAATTCATAACGAAAATTCCCCTCAAAATGATTGAAACACATATTAAAAGATAAAAATTAATTATTTTATTAATTTAGAATAGTACAAAGTAATATCAATTCAAAGATTCTCAATTATTTAAGATTGAATGTTCATACGTCTCACGTTCATATTGTTAGAATCCGAGATCTTAAGAAATGATATCAATTCATTTACTACTGAGATAGTTTAATTCATGCTATAAATGTAAAAAAGTAATTTAAGTAACTTAAAAAAAACACAAACTTAGTTTTAAAAAAATAGGGTACAAAATAAAATAACCTAAACAAAGAAAGAATTCCAATTTAAAAAAGGCTTAAATATACAAAAGGTGTCCAATATAAGCTTGTTTTTTTAATTTAGTGCATAATGTTTATTTTATTCTAGTTTGGTGTCCATTTCATTTCGTTACTTAAAATGAGTCAAGTCGTGACGAACCGTTAATTTCCTCCGATGAAAGGTGTCACAATTTGATAATTTTTAAATTTTATATAAAAATTTAAAAAATAAAATTATATGTATTTTTTAAAAAAGAAACCACATAAATTTTGAAACAACTCAAAAACTTTAAAAACTTTCATTTCAATCCCTAAACCCACGTCGATCGCCGCCCTTTACCATCGACGAAGCTCCACCCGACCTCACCTCCCTATGGTGACCAAAGCTCCTATGAAATCGTGACTGATCAACGATTGATCAATAGCGAATCGATTTTTTATACCCCTCGAACCCTATGATAAAAACCACAATCTCAAGCAATTTCGACGATCAATTAACGACAACTGCAATGAATTATAACTAGGATGATGACAAGAACTACGTCGACGGAGGTGGTCGTGGCCGAAAAGGGCGACAACAATGAGTTAGTGTTAGGATTTGAGGATTTTGAGCTTTTTTTGTAATTTAAAAAATAAGGGTTTTTTATAAGTATGATAATATATTTAATTTGTTAAAATATAAATTTTAAAATTACAAGAATGTGACACATGTCAAAACTAACAGTCAGTGATGCTTGATCCATTTTGAGTAAAGGAATAAAACGTTATACACTAAACTGAAACAAAATAAACGTTAGGTATTAAAATGACAAAACGAACATAAGTTTGGGCACCTTCTTGTATATTTGAGTAGGAATGGCAAAGGGTCGGATTCGAGGTGGGTTTTGCTCGCCCCGTCCCCAAACTCGAAATGAATCCCCGACCCCGACCCGATCCCCGTCGGGTTTTTTATCGGGAGCCCTATCGGGGATTTTTTTTACCCCGTCCCGAAATATTATACTCAAACATGAATCCGAAAATATTATATATATACTTAATATAAAAATATAAAATATTATATATATATATATATATATATAATCGGGGCGGAGCGAGGATACCTTATCCCGTCCCCGTCCCCGACCCCTATACCCGATCTAATCCGATATCATTCAAACCCGACCCGATCTGACCTGAACTTAATCGAATTTCGAGTTTCATAATCGAGTTCGGGTCATTTTACCATCTTATATTTGAGCCTTTAAAAAAACTTAAATTCTAGTAAAAACCACTTTTAAGAAATAAATATAAAAGGAAGTGAAAACGAAAAGGGAAAGGAGAAAAACCAACGATGAAAGGAGGGGGAAAACAAAGCCAGAGAAGGAGATACAATTCAAGCAATACTGTTGAAGTATAATTACAAGGAAAAAATGATTCCATTGAGCTTGTATAGAAGCCTAGAATAGAACGGAGTTCCCATCGACAACCAGCCTGTCTGATTTCCGGCACCGGTGAATTGACCCATTTACCCGTTTATTTAGTCGGAAAAAGGTCGTGAGACCACCGTTGAATGAATCTGGCATGTGAAAGTGGTTTTCTCCTGGGTTTCAACTCCAAAATAATTTCATTTTAGAAGAGACTTTTCTTTTGTTTTGGTTTTTAATTCCGGAAGAGTGCATTGGGGCCGTTCGATTGGAATTTTCGATCATGGTGATGAGGGCATGGATGGCAGTGGAAAAAACAAGGAGGATCGTACGGACGGCTTTTTTCATGGTGGCGATGCTGGCGTCGCTACTAGCATCGTCCCTTCCGTTGCTGGTGGCGGTATGCGACATCACGGTCCCTTTCCTTTTACTCTCGAGCTTCACGTGCATCACGTGCTACGGTTTCCACGAGCACCTTCGTCGTTACGATTTCAAAAACTCCTTAACTGATATACCTCTCGTCTCTATCCTCAGATCTATAGTAATCACTTGTACGATTCTTATTTCCATTATTCATGAGTTCTTAGAAAAAACAAACAAACAAATAATTCAAAATTTTCTTTGTTTTTGGGGTTTGGCAGGTGTGTATTCGATGTGCGACGGTCCAGCGTTATCCCATGGACCTTACTTAGGAACGGTTACTTTATGTTCATTCATTTCGATTCTTCTACTTTCAGTTAAAGCATGTGTTTTTACGGTGAATTCTCAAATAGAGGCACAGGCAGAGGCAGGTATAGAGGCGTATCCAGCTTATTCCCTTGCAAAGCAAAGGCTTCATTTGAAGAAATCATGGGGGATGCCTGTTTTGTTTCTTTCGTTAGTAATTTTTGCACTTGGTCACACTGTAGTTGCTTATAGAACAAGCTGTAGAGCAAGAAGAAAGCTTTTGCTTCATCGAGTTGACCCTGAAGCTGTAAGTTTTCGTGCCTTTCATTTCTGGGTTAATATTGGTTTTTGTGATTTTTATTACTATATAAGTATTTATAATTATCATTGCCTTTGTGACTTTTTTTTTCTTTTTTCTTTTTTGATTTCCGAGAAATCAAGCATATAAATCGACGTTTAAAAATTTTCTGATAACTAAATGCACGATTTTACTTAATATATTATGCTATAATTACATTGAAATTATTACTTTTTTGTAACAATGGATTTTTCTTTTTTGATGCAAATAAAGTCTAGCAATTAATTTTTGTTTTTGTCCTTATATTTTTTTCTTGAATTGAAGTTAAACTTTTAATAGTTGTTTTGCACGAGAAAAAATCATGATTTTTCGGTAATGTGAAAGTATTATGTTAGAACTGATTTTGCATTTAGTTGATTGTTTCTGTTTTCCCCCCACCAGTTTCTTATTTCTGTTTAATCAACAGTGATTTAGCTTTCTATCATTATCTTTATCCTTTTGTTTTTAGCAATAATTTTAGGTAAGAAAATTAACGGTAAATAGCAAGTAACTAAATGGATTCTAAGTGGTTTTCAGTTGTCTTTTTCTATGAATTTTAGTTTTATTTTTAAAAAGTTCAAGGAGAAAAAAAATTGAAATTCTGTGGTTTTAGCTGTTAATCTTCAACTTCTATTGTTCTTGTTTTTGATAAGTGAAATAAACTTTTATTGTTGCTCTAAAGTACAACTAATGTATTTTTTATTTCATGTGATGTAAGTCAGTAGTTCGATTCCACCATAGCTTAAACTAATGCAACCACAGAGCCCTTTACAGTTGTCATAGTTTTTGGTAGTAACATTCAAGTTACTGCAGGTTCTTTCATGCAAAAATATTCTCTCCGGCTTCCTGAAGGTTCGATCTTCCACTCCCTCTGCAGGGAAAACTCCAAAAAGCGACAGTGAAACCAGGCGAAATCCTTTCAGGCAATCTCGAGATGAAGGGGAACTCCCTGTTAGATTACTTGCTGACATAGATAGTATGTTCATTAAATTGCAAGGACTTACCATTCATTACAAGCTCTGCTTTCCTGGTTCTCCCACTAGGTCTTTGTTATCTACTACATTTCTAGAATCAAAAGTTGGTTCTATACCACAAGTTTCTCCTGGAAAGCTAAAGCTTGAGAGGCAAGCACTGAAATTGTTGTCAAAGACGCAATATAACCATCTTCATAGAAGCTATAGCAATCATTTTCAGACCTCTTCACTTTATGCTCCATTGTTGGATGGATCCCCAAGCTCTCCTGTTCTTTCTGATGATATTCCTGTTTTGAGCCATGAGGATTCAGTTACACACTTTGAGACAAGTCATTTGAACTGTGGGACTCTAGAGCAAGACATAGAGGCAAATGTCCAGCTTGGAATTGTTTTAGTGCATGGGTTTGGAGGGGGAGTCTTTTCATGGAGGCATGTGATGGGGGTGCTTGCTTGTCAGGTTGGTTGTTCAGTTGCTGCTTTTGATCGGCCTGGCTGGGGATTGACTTCTAGGCCAAGCCGGAAGGAGTGGGAGGGAAAGGAGTTGCCCAATCCTTACAAGCTTGAAACTCAGGTATGGTTTGGTGCTCTTTTAAATGTTGTTTGGTTATTGTCAGGGAGATGCATTTCTGACACTTAGGATGACTCACCAAGGTTTTCAAAAAAAAAAAAAAAAGTATGACTCACCGAGTTAAATGCCTTAAGATGTACTACATATGCCATGTCGTTTATATAAGCAGTTCTTTGAGTGCTCTAGGCCTTATGTTACACGTATAACGCTTGAAGCTCTTTTTGAGTTTTTAAGGACTTCCTTGCTGTATCTTCTGTATATTGTTTGTTCTCTTATCTGTCATATGAAGTTCATAAGTATTATCACCTAATATTTTCAGGTTGACTTGCTTCTTTCCTTTTGCTATGAGATGGGGTTTTCTTCAGTGGTGCTTGTTGGCCATGATGATGGAGGCCTTCTTGCTTTGAAGGCTGCACAAAAAGTCCAAGCCTCTGTGAATTCTTTTGATGTGAGTGATGCTTCAAGATTTTTCTGTACCATTATTAACTGACTGGTTTTGTGGGTTTATTTTTGGCATTTTTTAAGGATGCTCGCATTTTAAACTTTTATGAAAGATATCCAAATAAAGGACAGAAAATTTAAACCATGGTGTTTTAAAGGTTGTTTGTCTATTTCTCTAATTCATTTCAGCTTTCGTGTTTTAATTGACTGCTTCCTGAAGTTGAAGAAGCCTAGTTGTGGGTTTAACTTATTGGAATGAAGGAAAATTAAAAGATTATTAAATTTAGAATAAACCTAGAGAAAGGCTTTATTTAGTTATTTGTTCTTGTCGGATTTTCTACTTCAATTTACCGGTTCCTGTTGTCTAAGAATATATTTGTGGATTTAACTTTTGAATATTGCATATGAGGTTTGAGTTAGATGTTCATTATTTTGTTGCTGTATATTGGAGTGTCAGGTCTCATTGGAATTCCGTATTATAGGCTAAAATTTTGTAAGATGATCTCTCTCTGATTGTATAAATGGTCATGACCTATTTAAATCTCTGTTAGTAGGAGTGGCTTGAAATGATTAAGCTTAGTTCTTACTGTTTATCCTTTGTTTATTTGGTGGTTTACTCAGATTACGATCAAAGCAGTGGTTTTGCTAAGTGTTAGCTTGTCAAGAGAAGTTGTCCCCGCCTTTGCAAGGATACTCTTGCGCACTTCACTTGGGAAGAAGCACTTAGTTCGCCCGCTTCTGCGAACAGAAATTACACAAGTGGTGAATAGGCGTGCATGGTATGATGCAACTAAGTTAACAACAGAAGTTTTGAGCCTGTATAAGGTATATTTTCTGCAAAACTAAAATGTAGGGTGGTAATCTTGCATATGATTTGAGGGGGAAAATTAAATTTGGGAAGATACTGTAGAATCAGGGAATTTACTTTTGAAACAACAGCTTATTTTGTGAAATGAACAAGGGAATCTTAAAAAGAAACTAATCAAGATAAAAAAACGCATAAAATACCAGGGTTAGCGCATTTATGCAGACTGATGATGTTGGAAAAGTATGAGTTTCTGTATGTGGAACGATTTATTTTCATGAGTAACAAAAAGAAGGGTAAAAAGCAATTTGCATCTGTATTGCCATTGTAACATAAGGAATAACTCGCTACTAGTTACCGTGAAGGAAATTTCCGTTAGATTTTACATAACTTTCATCTGCGTAGCATACTTTATCAAATTACTTAGCTTATATTTAGGTTTATGAAATTGAATGATAGCTACTTGTTTGAAGTTTCAGTTTAGGTGTTTGATTTGCTGACATGATCTTGCTTCAAGCAGGCCCCACTATGTGTTGAGGGTTGGGATGAAGCGCTACATGAGATATGCCGGTTGTCGCATGAAACAATCCTTTCACCACAAAATGCAACGTCACTGCTAAAAGCGGTTGAAGAGGTCCCAGTATTGGTCATTGCTGGTGCTGAAGATTCCCATATTTCTCTCAAATCTTCCCAGGCCATGGCTTCAGAATTTGTTAATTCTGTAAGTATTCTGCTTCAATTTGTATCCTGATTTTATCGAGGACAGTCAAACTTCTTATCACTCTTTTATTCCGGTATGTAGTTTTTGAAGAAATTGAAAATATTGCATGCATAAACTCTACTGAAATTCCTTGTTGAGTGTTCACCTTGAGACAATGTTTTTGTTCCATTTCCGGATCTTGTTGTCATATTTCAAGCTGAACTTGTCGAGTACTTAATTGATTCTACAATATGCAAACTATGAATCGTGTTTGTTAATGTTGCTATATTTGTTGGCATGCAGAGACTGGTTGCAATATCTGGGTGCGGCCATCTTCCTCATGAGGAATGCCCCAAGGCATTACTTGCAGCTATTTCACCTTTCATAAGCAGATTGCTAATCAGACCAGAACTGCAAAAAGTCTTCAGGACGCCTCCTTTTTGACTTATTTAAATAGGGTTCTTATGTCTTGTAGGAGCCATTCAATCCTTATCTTTAATTTTTCCTTCCCCCCGTATTCATCAAGCAATTTACCTCCAAAGGAAGAGATAAATTCAACCTCTCTTCTTTTGGGTAATTTTGATGAGTTAAGAGCCTTCGCTGTAGCCCTCTTTCTCTGGGGAGCTGTCTCTCTTGTAATTTTCCTTTGCTTTCCATCTGATTTTGGATGCATGGTGGGGATGAAAAATTTGAATGTTATTTGCTACTTAAAAGGAGTGGTAAAATGGCAGTACATGTACATATTATTTGTCGAAATTAGCAATTAATGCATTTGAGCTTTGTTTCAAATTCAGGACGATGGTTTGGAGTTCTGTTTCATGGTTTAATTGATTTGGATTTTTGACAAAAATCAACATATATTCAAATAATTGAACTTAATGTTTCTTGTTCAAATGAAAAATCAATTTCATATTATTTAATTTTGCAATATACGATATAGCCTAACAAAAAAACAAAGTTGGGATACAAAGCATTTCTATGGCAGAATAATTGACCTGAGGGAGTTCAATTAGTAAAATGGGAGAAACGAATCACTGAGATAAAAAGTAATGAGCAGTGTCTTCATCTATCCATAAAACATATCAGCAGTTTATATTAGAATCGCATCATGAAGCCATCTTTCTAGTTCAAATCCTGAACTTTCCATAATTAGCAACTGGAAAACAAGTATCCACCTTGTCCTGAAACAAGCAGGCCCCGAGAACATTTTTCAGAGGCTAACGGGTTACAAACAAAAGGCAACAGAGAGACCAATTAACATAAGCTACTCTTTGGAGGATTTATTGATAAGTGATTTGTGAATGTGTGGGATAACACCACCACCGGCTATGGTTCCCTTGATCAACGTATCAAGTTCTTCGTCACCACGGATAGCAAGCTGTAAATGCCTAGGTGTTATACGCTTAACCTTCAGATCCTTGCTTGCATTACCTGCCAGTTCTAGCACTTCAGCAGTCAGGTACTCCAGTATGGCAGCAGTGTATACAGCAGCTGTTGCTCCAACCCTTCCATGTGTATTAACTCTTGTCTTCAACAGCCGGTGGACTCAACCCACCGGGAACTACATAGAGTGCATGCCGTACAATAAGAATCAACTGATAATAATTTTGAACAATTAACTGTAATTCAACTAGAGAACAAAGTATAATCCAATTTGCAGTCTACATCTTATAGATGATCTATGCCTAGATGACGTACAGAAAAAAAAAGAGAAAAAAACAACCAATTATGCTTATTCAAACAAGGAAAAGGATGCAGATTTGGAAGATTTTGGAACTTACCATAAAAAAGCATAGGCACATGTACCAAAAAGCAAGACGATTCCAGATATGAAAACAACCATTGTAAGCTTATAACATTGGATATCTAGATATCTATGTTCTGAAAGTCGAAACAGTTTTTGAAGAATACAACCAATCTAACCAACAAATCTACCTATTATTTACCAAATAGAACAAAGTTTTAGGGCATTAGATGATGTAGATGGTGATTAAGACAACTACGAGTCCATAAAATGTTAAACAATATGGTCATATTCAGAATAGCAAGGATTTTATATAGCAAAATGTTCTTCGTAGTATGTCAGCAGAATGACTTGTCATGAAGCTTTAATGCTGTAAATTTCAATTTTATATAACAAATGAACGTGCATTTTCTTTCCCTGTGGAAATATCTCTATTACCCACAAAGCTTGTACAAACTTTTACTAATAATGGAAGCAAATTTTCCCAACTCCCCATCCCATCATTCGGCTTTTCTTTTTCACCCTCATCCATGTAAATGACTACTGATAAGGCAGAATTCAGGACCATGATTGCTCATAGAACACTGTCCCTTTTTGCAACGACATCATAAAACATATGAATCCTTTGAATTGATAACTAAAAGGGAAACGACAAAGAACACAATGGTTCATACCCCCAATTCAAACATCAACGCAGCAATGGCTACCTTCAGTGACATCCATTCAAACAATTGTGGGTAGATTTATTGAGGGCATTTGGAACAACGCCATTGTTAGGCCAGATTATCTACCATAATCCTCTAACAAAGCAAATATTTGTTGCTATCTACAAATGCAAGTTTCTCTTCAATAATTCCACCCGTAATTTTTGAAGCATTCATCTAAAAAAAATACCAAAAAAGGCAATAAACACGAGGATTGATTAACAAAAGATCTCCTTCTTGACCCGAATCTAAAATTTTGCCTGGAATTGAAGAATGCTTCATAATTAAAAATCCAATACACCGAAACAATAAAAAAAGGTAATTCAAGCCGAAAATTAAGGGGGAGAGAAGGACCTGGAGACCAGCACGAGATGAGCGAGAGATGGGTTTCTACTTGTCCTTCTCTTTGTCCTTGGCGGATTTGCCAGCTGTAATCAACCCTTTCGCTCCTTTCCCAGACATTCCCACCCAATTTAATTAGGGCTTTTATGTTGTTTTCCTGCTGAACAGAAAAATATGTTCTTTGCTTGGGAGAAAAGCCTGATATTGATGTGTTAAAGAGAAGAGAAGAGAAGAGAAGAGATTGAAGAAGTATTTCGGGATATGAATAAGAAAATTCCCAAGTTACCCTTTAAGAAAATCTGATCCACATTGTATCCAAACAGAATCATTTTTATTTTTACATGATCCCGACCAATAAGTCCATCCTAAATTAATCAAATAAAGTAAACATACTTAAATAATCATTATAAAAAAATATCATTTATACCGATCAAAATCACTTTTTAATTTTAATATGTTATCATACAATCAAAAATAAAATAAAAAATTAAATCAAATATTACATATTCATTTAATAATAAATTTTAATTTTATAATAATAATAATAATAGAATAAAAATATTAAACACGTATATATATAATAAAAGTATATCATATTAGTTACATCTTTAAAAAAATACATCCAAAAGATAACACATCTCATCAAAAAAATGATAATATTTTAAAAATTGACAAAAATAGAAATTAAATTAAAAATAATTTTTAGTGTTCTTTTTTACTCAAAGATATCCTTTCTTTGACCGGTTCGTAAACTTCCATTTTTCTCGACAGCTTTAACATAGAAAAGTGCGGAAATAAAGAAGGTCGTCCCCACCTGTACACGCTCTTCCATGTCCTCCACGTGTCCTATCTTATCCGTTTTAAGAAAGTTTTGGTCTCCTCTACCCGTCCCTACCGTAGCGCCTGTGTATCCCACCTTACACATGTTTCGACCAGGTCCTATATAGTATATAACCATCATATCTTTAAAGGTTATATTGAGCATATCCTTTTTAGACCGCAGACGATAATTGCCCGACCACTGTATCCGCACAAAAACCTACAAGTGGTTTTTCTCCATTCTTCATTTTCCAAATCCTTCGTCTTCCCTGAGAAACTCATTTTTTCCCAATGGCGACAACTCTTGCGTTCTCCCTTTCAACCCCGATCCGGGCCTCATCCGGCTCACTTCAAAGACCCGATCCGAGTCGCAGAAAACCTGTTTCTTCCTCCTCCTGGTGGGCTCCTCTCTTCGGGTTGTCCTCCAACCCCGATTACCTTAATGATCGCAATACCGGTCTTACGTCGGAGGGAAAGTCAGACATACCAGATCCGGACTCAGATCCGAGTAGATCTAGAGTTGGATGCACGACCGGTTGCTTCACCGAGGGGAAAGCAAAGCAACTTCGTAGGAAGACGATGGAGAACGCGGCGTTTCACGATATGATGTACCACTCTGCGATCGCGTCTCGTCTTGCGTCTGATACGTCGGGTTGGCCGGTAAGTGATTGAACGAAGCCTAATAATAATCGGGTAAGGGTAAAAATAACTTTTCGGAATGAAAGTGTATATAAAATCATATTGTTCCTACGCTGTTGTTTTTTTAATTTGGTTGGAAATCTGGGTAATGTTTCTGTTAGTTCCGGGAATACGGTTGATTCTTGTAATATTGATTTTAGACCGTTGGATCGTCAATGACTGTGTCTCTAGCTACGCTCTTTTTATTTCATGCGTCGATGAACGATGTTGCATGTTCGTTCCCTCGTCTATTGTGGGACCCGTAATCTCGTGCTCTTTTTATGACGTGGTGAATGATCTTTGTTCTAATGGATGATGAGGAAATTTTTATTTGTATTAAAAGTTATATTTTGTTTTTTTATTATTTTTCAATTTATGAAAATTAAATTATCATTTTGCCTCGTATATTTTATATTTTTTACTAAAAAAATTAACATATAATAATAAAATTAAAACAAAGTATTCAAAAAGACGATGAAAAAAAGAAAAGAAAAGAAATATGCGTCTAACCTAACGTAAATGTTGACGTGGAAATTTTTTCACCTGAACCTCACCAACAGTCTAAAATTCGAACCGCAACAATGGCCCAAAGTTTCCAGAAACTGGAACCGCTCCATCCCGATCACCAACTAAAACCCAGCCACCACTTCGATTCAAATGTCACATTTCTCCATTGCCTTCTGTTTCGCTCCTCACTCGTCACTTCGCCGTCGATCCAAATGCCACATTTCTCCATTGCCTTCTGTTTCGCTCCTCACTCTTCACTTCGCCGTCGATTCAAATATCACGAAAATGAAGTCCGATTAATTCCGTGAACATGTAAACGTCTTTTCTCTCAACTACTATTAACATTAATTCGCTGAAAATTACAACAAAGGAGGAAAACACAAAATTAGATTTAATTAAAAGAATTTGTGGTGGTGGGGGGGGGGGGGTTTGGGGAGGGAAGGAAGGAGTTACAGATGTACACAACTGTATATTCGAGTGGGACTCGTACTTATAAAGCCAATTTAATTTACATTTTTTTTATAATTTTGTTTAATTTAGTGGGCGTATTTTATAATTTTTATATAAGTGGATTTTTACACGACATCTATGTGATAATAATGAATAAACTGCACCAAATAATAAATCTGTCAAATAATAAACATACCTCAATGGTTAAAATAAACATTGTTGTTTATAAAAGTTACGGGTTTGAATATTAGTGATTGTAGAGGTAATTAAATATTCATTATCAAATTGTTGAGAGTACTTAGAATAGATACTACTTTATAATCTCCTTTAGCTTAATCAATAATAATAATAATGACTAAATTGTGATAAATTTATTATTTTTTATTTTTCAAATAAGTATATACAATGGAAAAAACTTTTCAAAAAATATAAATAAATATCCAAATTATACATTAATTTTGTTCAAATATTTAATGAGATACATTAATTTTTAATTCATGCAATTATACACAAAAAAATTACTTTAATTCAAATTTTATATATTTTAAAATTAAACAAATCCATTTACTTTTACATTAAAATAAATATAATTATATATATAATATGTGATACTTTATTTTCAGTGAAAAATAATTTGTGTAAGCCTACAAGCCTATGAAACACATTTGGTTATGTAATAAAATTAGGATATACAAGTAATATGAGGAAACATATTATATATACTCTCTTACTCCTATTAACCACAAATCTTTTATCAAATATTGATTTTGATTCTTTCCAAAATTAGATATCATGAGTTATTAGATTTTACTTGTGATCTATAAATATAGTTATTTTTAATTTGAACTAAGTCATATTTGTGGCCGATATAATTAATATCTTATTGGATCAAATACGATAATAAAAATTAAAATTAAAACTAAAACGAGAAAGAGCTAAATTAAACGGCTCAATAAAATTTGAATATTTAAACGAGAAAGGATTAAATAAAAAATGGATTAACTCTAACAATGCCATTCAATGATCATTTAAAGTAGGGATGGACCGAAAAGGGGCAGTCATCCGTCCCTAATTTAAAGTCTTCAATTTTATCAAGAAGGAAAAAAGGTTGAGAGTTTCTAACATAAATTTCTTTCAACGATAACTAAAATAAATGCTTTGACTATAACTCAAGGTTTAGCCTTGATTTAGAATATCAAGGCTGTATATACGTTTAATCGTCTACATAGTGCCAGTTTTGTTTTGACAGTTAAGGTCCGTAATGGAGGCTTTAGCATGGGTGCTGCAATGGCCGTCTACTCTGCGACTGCTTATGGTCTTGGAAGATATGGAAATGCCAATCCATACCTCATCTACCTAGGGGCAGTTATCGGACTAAGTGGGAGGCTTCCAGGCTCAAAGTATTACATCTTTCAGGATTAATTTTCTAACAAAGCCACCTGTAAACTCTTTCATGTTTCACACTTCTTGCCATGCAAAACATGACATTAGTTTGGACCACCTCCTTGAACGAAATGCATTTAGAGTAAATAAGTTCAGGCAAAAAGACTCTAACCTCTCATTGAAGGTGTTGCTTTGAAGGGGCTTAAGGAACAATGAGAAGTATGACATTAAGCTGCAAGGCACACTGCATCCTTCCTGATTTTGCTCAGCCATGGAACCTGTATGCAACTGTCTCTTTCAAGCAAATACTGCAACTTACTCAGTACTATGTTATCGCAATGTCTACTGACATTCCAGAATGTATTAACTAATTCTCTTATAATCCCTGATGCAGGTGATGATGTTGACCCCTACATGTACGGAGAAACATCTGCTCATTCTTCGAGTGTAGCAGAATTTCGAAACCTCGCCTATAAAACCTATCAAGTATGAAGGGTAAACTATACATGCTTTTGCAATAACAGTAATTAGCTCGTTGTTTGTAGACAGATCATGCATCATCTTACGAGTTGGTTAATTTGGGTGTTCCTGATTGGTCATTACACAGTCCCTAAAGAATTCAGTAATTGTATAAACATGATAAAGGGGATCCAACAAAAAGATATTTTCCAACAACATTTTAAGCAATTCCCGCACTGCAAACAATCAGAACTTACAAAACACAAGGGAACGGACGAAGTTTTGCAAAAGTAGATAACATTTACACAGACGAAATTGATGTTTTTATCATTAAACATTGTTTCTGTGAAAAATAAATAAAACAACAAAATGGGATAACAGGGACTTCATTTTCTACTTCAAAGTCTAACATGACTTAATAAACCTAAACTCTGACCCTTACCCCCTGCTTTTATTTCCATCTGCAATACACACACAAAAGACAAAGCATAAAAAAAGAACAAGGACATAAAAGTCAGCGAGAGAAACAGCAGTCAATATTAAAACTGAGCACAACAGCTTTGTACCTGGGACAGCAAGAATCATTAAACAATGAGGTCCAATCACTGCCCATTATCGGAGGACCATCTTGGTGTTCGCCACCGCAATCCACCTTGGCCTCGACGTGTTCTGTCAGCTTGTGAGCTCCGGCGCCTACCTTGGGAAATTCTATCTGATGCTGAACTACTATTCCTCCATTGGAGAATGCCCTGTGAGGCACGGTGTCTACCTAGAAGTCTCTCTTCTGGCAAAGGATTGTTTCGGTGACCAAAGAGTACTCGATCAGATACAGAACTACCATTCTCCCTAGTACCATGATCATACTCTCGATCATACCTAAACCTCCCACTTCCCGACCTCCTTCTAAAACTATCATCTTCAATACTCCTAGAATCACTGATGAACTCAAGCGCAAGTGTCAAGTATGCAAGATTTATAGTCAACCAAGAACGAAAATCCTCTAGATCTGAAAGGGTTTCTCCATTACTTTCTTCCGCAGCAACTGGTTGGATTGAGCTAAGCATGTCCTCGTAATCCCTTTCGCGCTGTAACCTAGTCCAATCACGCTGTCGTTCTGGATCCACTTCTGATGGTCGGACTAAAGGATGAGCAGACCTAGCATGCTTTCTAAGTTCACTATAAGTCCCACCGAAATCACATGTCTCAGATGAACAACTCCTGGCTTTGGAATTCATGAAGTGACGAGCTGGTTCTACCACACTCCAGCCGTAAATATCTCCTCGACAAAGAGGGCAAAAAAGCTTTGGCTGTAGATCACTATCAGCCTCGGTTTGATGATCATGAAAAGGTGGATTCCTCCAACTACTGGAAGTAGAGGTCGTGTTTCCCAAAGGAATTTCCTGTAACACAGCAGTGGAAGGAGATGACAACGATGACTTGCAAAACTGATCAAGACAATTTGAATGGCGGTAGCTTGTATTGCACATGAAAGGGCGACAACCCTTTTCAAAGGAAGAACACCGCAAAAGTACAGCATTGTGTGGGTGTTCCATGCAAATGGGGCACCTTGCATCCTCCCACTCTTTAACATCCTCAACTGATCCGAATCCCAATTCCAATGGATTCTCCCGTTGGCATTGCTTAGCATCCCCGCCCTTAGAACTACACGGGTAAGGAGAGATCCTAGAGCGTTCAAAAGATAAGGAACCAACTCTTCTATCCTTCGGCATTTTTCTTTTTCAAATTTAAAACTGTCGGTAACAATTATCTTAAAATCTGCCTTTTTTTCAACACCTCAAAGGTAGCACTCTTTCAATCCCTAGGATAACAATAATAATAATAAATTTCAAATTTATGAGATCGAAAGGCAATATATGTGAATAAATAACAAGCATGAATATATTCATCAATTGCATCGCTTCAACCATTTCCAATATTTTTCTGACATTCATTATAAATAAAGCATGGAAAAAAAACAGTCAACAACAAAAATTGTAGCACGTAAAAACAAAGCCAGATTTAAGTTATGATCATATGGGCGAAGGAAATGAAATTTCATCCAAAAATAAAGAATTAAAACCGAATATTAGAGATTAATCAAGAAAATTATTACATCATGCATCGGTCCAATGTTAAAACAGAAAAAGAAAAAAGTAAAAATAAACCAATTATAAACCCAGATGCAATCAATGAAATCTAAAGGAATCATAGCTTTTATGTTAATGAAATTAGATTATAGATCATGCTCAGGGTTCGAACTTACCGGAGTTTTCTGGAAACGGGAGAATTGAAACTTTTTTTTGGGGGGGAGGGGGGTTGAAGGGAGCGTTTTGTTGGAAAATAAATTAATTTAAAGAAAACAGTGCGGGAGAGACTTTTCTGTTTTTACATTTTAAGACGCAATAGCTACATATCGATATTGTCTTGTTGGGGGATATATACGTGAATGTACTTAAAAGTACCAAAGATAATCTTTTTTGGACATTTTTGGTATTTCGGTTTTCCATTTTGATTTTGATTTTTTATTAGTTTTTCCCCGACTATAAATTAGAAAGTTCCATTTTCCGTCCAATTCTGGTGAAAACATCCGGTTCTTTGTTAATATTCGATTAGCTTTCAAATTTGAATTCAAAAATCAAATTATACTAATAATATTTTTATCTAATAAAAAGTTAATATAAAAATGTGATATTTATCTTTTAACAGAAATAAAAATTATTTATTATGAAAAATTCTATAGTAAACTTCGCATACTAAAATATACTACTAATTTGACATACTAAAACACATCACTAATTAAATTGTCATTTCTAAGTAAATATTAAAAAAATATAATGATTTATTCATAATTAATATTTTATTATTTATTTTTAATTTTAATTTTAATAGGAATTTAATTAAACGTTGTTTTTATTAAAAAGTATAATTATTTTTTAAATTTTATTTGTTTAGGATTGAAACACTTAGTTTATTTAAATTTATAAAATGATCCTAGCAACAACAATCAAAATTAACTGCCGACAACTCTATTCATTATCGAAAAATGACGTTCTTCGATATATGATCGTGACACATTCAACTTAAGGCATGGATAGATTCTTTTGTTTTCAACAAAGGTATTTTAAATGGATTTACCACAGCATATGATATAAATATATCTATTTTCTCATATTGTTGAAATCAAAACATAAACAATATTATTTAACTTCGTTCCCCCCCCCCCTCCAACTATTGGCAATAGAATTGAAGACTTTCATAGACTCGTTAACCTCAAAGGTGTTGTTTAGTAAATTCTTCACTTGTTGCGTATTGGATACATGGCAAACAACCCCAAAGCTTGTATTCCTTTAGGTTTAAGTTTTTGAATTGTCTCATTCACGTTTTCTTGCAAATGCAACTAAAAATAGGGATGTTCAATCGGTCAATTCGGTTATTGATCGAATCGGGATACCTAAAATTATTTAATCGTTTTTTCCTTTAACCGTTAATTGAAGTGATTTTTCTTCAAAAGTTTTAATCAAACCGAACAAAGTTTAGTTAATTCGATCGACTAACTGAAATTTATAAATAATATTATGTATTAAATATTTAATATTTTCGGTTAATTCAGTCGGTTAAACTAGTTAAAACTGAAGTTTAAACACTTCTAAGGCTAATATATAAATAATATAAATAATATATTAATATTTAATAATTTCTATTAATTCTGTTAACTAACCAATTTCAAAACGAATTAACTATTAATAAATTTTAAAAAAAAAATTAACTGTTAACTGACCAAACCTAAAATTAACCGATTGATTAATCGAAAAAATTTAAATTCAATTGATTAAATCGGTTAAAACTGAAATTTAAACACCTTACTCGAACATATAATAAGTTCCATAAAATATGAGTATTCTGGTAATGTTTTGTTAGTGTTTAATAAATGAATACGTAATGTATTGATTGTTATAACTATTGTACATTGAAGAACATAATTTTCTGACCATGACTAAGGTTGTCAATGGTTGATTTTAATAGTAATTGTTGGGATGATTTTGTAAACTTAAATAAATTAAATGTACCAATCTTAAACAAACAAAATTCTTAAAACAATTAGAATTTTTAATAAAAATATGATTTAATTATATTCTTATTAAAATTTAAACTAAATAATAATAAATGATTAATTGTGGATAGATCATTATATTTTTTATATTTATTTATTAAGGATAATTTAGTTAACAATGTGTATCGACGTGTCACATTAGTGGTGTGCTTCAGTATGTGACGTACACTTTAGACTCTTCTTAATTATTATAATATCCTATTTTATCATCAAGATATCTATCACTAAATAATATCTTTAATAAATAATTTCATTATTACATACATTTCCTTAATTAATTATGTTTATATCCTAAATATTTGGTGTTAAATTATTTTGTTACCAGCTAAAAGGCCCATATTAACAGCCCATAAACCTTTGCCCTAGTTTCTTTCCTTCTTGTCTATTCCCGCTCCTTTCCTTTCCCGCAGCTGCTGTTTTTCTTCTGATCGTCCAGACCCCCTTTTCTTCTTCCTTCCTTTATTTATTTCTTCTTCTTCTTCTGGTTTTCTTCCTCTTTTGCTCGTCTCAGTTATCATCTACATGGCAATTCCAAAAAAAAAAGAGCGGCTCCTGATCCAGACCTTGCAGCTAAAAGAGGCACAGATATTACTGGTGAGGGCTTCTACATCTTGCTGGATTTGAATTAAGTTCTAATGGTTTTTGGATATGAATCGAATCATATATACCTCATTTTTGTCATTAAATAATACTCAATGTGCTACCTCACCTCCCCCTTCTCTCTTACAGGAGCTAATGGCTTGAGAGAAAAAATATTGCTGTCAAACCTAGCATATCAGTTTTGTACACGTTTGCCGTATGCTTGATATTCAATGATTAATAAAACCCTTGGACAGGAAGAATAAAATGTTAATATGATGTTTGCTATACTTTCTTATCTTTTTGTATCATGTGGTACATAGGATTGATTGGATATTATGCATGATTTAATACGCATCAGATCTCTGTAATAGTTGTGAAGTATGCCCTGCCTCTTTTTTTTCTTCTTCTTTTTGTCTTGGTATTTATTTCATTTATGATTTTGGAATAGGTCAGGGAGAGAACGTAGGCGGGGTCCTTGTAAATGATGATCCAAATGAGCCTACCATGGCTGAGAAACTTGCAAGTTTAGATTTAATAGAAAATCGAAAAACTGAAACCAATGAAAACCAAGAAAGAAGAGAACCCTCTCCTCGTGGCAAGCTTCCCACTGCAGATTCAGTTAATGTTCTGCTTAAGCAGGCATTGCATGCCGATGATGGTGCTTTTCTGTTAGATTGCTTATACACTCAAGATGAGAAGGTCATTTCGTACTGACGGGTCTTTTATTGATGGAAATATATGTATGGTAACAATGCTAATATGAGAACTCTGCCTTTTCAGGTTATAGCAAATACAGTATCTCAGTTGAATCCATATGATGTTCTTAAGCTTTTACAATCTCTTGTATCTATAACGCAATCGAGGTAAAGTATTATATGTTTCGAACAATCATGAATTACATTGAATACACGTGCACTCTTTCTTTTTCTTATACTGTAACTGGAGAAGAGTGATGTTAACCAAGCCTATTCACTTGCTTTATGGTGGCACATTGCTTATTGTTAGGTAAACATAGTTGTCTTGTTTTTCATTTATAACTAGAGCTAAAGTTTTATCTTCAATATTTCTAATTCAATGCAGGGGCGCCGTATTGGCATGTTCCCTCCATTGGATAAAAAGTTTACTACTTCATCATGCCAGTGGAATCATGTCCCAGGAAGCATCTCTTCTTGCTCTGAACTCTTTGTATCAGGTCAGAAGGGAGCATTAAATTATGGATTCTTTTTATTAAAAAAGCCACTTGGATCTTTTATTGTCCAACTTCAATCATATACTAATATTCATAATGGGGATGCTTGTTTTTATGCAGCTTATTGAATCTAGAGTCTCAACTTTTGAATCAGCTCTTCAAATATCAAGTTGCTTAGACTTCCTTTATGCAGGAGTATGTGCTATGTTGAAGTTTTTGGCTGATTAGAACACTGAGGGTTAATTTGGGACCTGTACTGTGAATTGTATTCTTATTTTTTCCCCAATTTTTTATGACAGATTGTTGAGGATGAGGTTGATGAAAATCCCACAATTCCAGTAATATTTGAGGACACGGATGAGAGTGAGAAAGAGGAATCAGAAGATGAAATGGAAACTGATGATGAAGAGAAGGAAAATGAGGAAGCAGTTGATGCATCTGATGACATCAGTGATTTCGAAGGGTTTGATGATTTGAGTGACTGATGAAGAATTATGACCAGTTCGGGTTCGTTCTGTTTAAAGCTCATAAAGTGATCTGGTAACCATCATAAGAAGATGGAAAGCAAGGAGTTTCACAGATGATCACCTTGTTTCCAGGATCATAACATAAACTAATTTTAAGTTTAAATTTTGTCGAGTAAGTTACACCAGGAAGTACAGGTACATGTACGAGAGAAAGATTTGGTGCAACTTCATCATTCTATCATCAAACAAATTCCGAAAACTCCATTGTCCTTTTTTATTTTAGTAACTCACCCAAATTTGCAATTTGCATCAGTTTTGCAGGTTGTACAAGTAACAAATTTTTGTAAACGTTTTCCTTCATGTATTAAAATCTTTTGTAGTTCCTGAACTTGATTTCATCGGCATGAGAAAATTTGTGATTTTAATTTAAGAGCTGGAGAGCTTTTTCTTATTCTTCAATTTATGCTATCTTCTATTTGGTGTACAATTTGCATCATTCTTTTTGGACAAATTCTTTCATGCACAAGTTCTTGATGACTTTCAATTTATGCTCATGGACATTGATCTCTTTCTTGATTGTGACATTTCACCAAAGCTTTTAAAATGCAATGCCAGTAGTATCATGGACAAGTACTTCCAATGCTACTACCGTTTTTCATTTCCTAGCAAGAAAAACAAGTTGAAAGCTTATTCTTCCTGATTGAGTGCTGAAGCGATAGTACCAGTCGATATTCAGAAGACTGATGCTTGATTGGGATCGATTGGGCACGGAGTTAGGGCATGGGAATACTGTAGAATAGTGGGCGTTTGGGGTGTTCTTGTACGGCCTCTTGTATGGTCAGATCCCTTTTGAGGGTGATTGTGGGGGAACAACTATGAACAACATCCTTGGGCAACCTGCAACTTTTCCCAGGATTTGTGCCAGTTATGGTAAAGATCATCGTGAAGAGACGGGGAATGCTCTTGATTTGATAAAAAAAGCTACTGGTGAAATATAAAGAGAATGGGAAATTTGTGGAGTGATGTTGAAAGAAAGAAGCGTGGAGTTTTCAAAGGCGTGGGTTGGGCTCAAAGTAGATCACTTAAGCCTCCACAAATCAAAGATGCAAGTGAAAGTTCCAAAATCCGATATGGCAGAGGCCAAGTTGCTTTTAAACCTTTGTTGTGGAGTTGCGGTTTTATCAATAAAGCTTAGAGATGTATTTGTGTGTGAATAACACAAATATGCAAAAACGAGGGTTTAATTAAAGAGGGTATTTACTTAAATTCGTTAACGGGTTGTAAACTAACTGCCTTTGTACAAAAATAATTGCAGATGTGCAAAATCGTTTCGTTTGTGTATATTTTTAGTTTGAAAAAAAGAAAGCAGGAGAAACGAACAGCATGACAAGATATTGGAAGGGGGGAGTAACGATAATTACAAGGTAAAATGTTGATTCCAATTTTTTAGAGTTAGGATGAACTTGTAATAATGTGTAAATGCTAAAGATTAAATTTTATATTATACCAATCTTATCGATTGTTGTGTTAATTTTCCGTCTATAAATGAGTGGTTAATGACTGTTTTGTAAACTTTGATAACTCGAGTGATCAATTTGTAACATTTTATACATAAGTGAAGGGATAATTTGTGTAATTCATTCTTAATTTTTATGTACATTATGAGTTGCATTGCTCTGTTTAACAATTTAAACAAAGATTGATTTCGTTAAATCAGATAGGAAATGAATTCTCATATCAAATATTTCTATGACATTTTTAAAGATTAAAATAGAATAATTCGTGTAGATTGATATAATTGTACTGTTTAAATAGTTTTCAAAGCAGTATGATTTTACATTCCACCATTTGACTAAAAGAAAAGAAAGGATCAATGAGAAGATCTTACAAATCATAATTTAATCCTCAACTATTAATATAAATTAACCGCTTGGAGTTGTCCAAATCTATCTTAACCATTATGTACATGTAAAGTAGGGTAGAAAACCGTTAAACATAATTATCTATAATAAGTGATATTTAAAAACTTTAGAGTTTTGAACTTCAGTATTTACGGTATTTAAAAAAAATAAAAATCATGGGGAGATGCTTTACACGACAGCTTTAGCTTTGGTTTAGTTGAAGCATACTTAAAATGGTTGTGTCTTTATGGTAATGGTTTCTCGGCCCCTTTCCTTACACCCTAAAGTTGTGGATTTAAATCTCCCTTTTCCAGATTTTACAAGTCGCATGTCGGCATTCAACTCCACGTTTAATTTCTGATCAATGACTTACAAACATGTATATATATATAATTATTTCACAAAGCATTTTTTTTTATTTTTACAAATAATTTTATTATAAATGTTAATATATATGAATTTTATTTGCCAAGTTTAAACGGTAATTGCATTAGTAATAATAATTTTGAAGGAAAAAGGTGAAGGAATGTGTGTTAATAAAAACACACACGCACTCAAAAAGCTTAGCAACCAATGGAATCACCCACCACACTTCGCTCTTTTCCTTCCTTTACCATTCTTCAAGAGAATGGACCACACCTCTTATTATTTATTCTCAATTCCACTCTTTATTCTTTCATCTCTTATTTCTTTATCATCTCTCCCTCATGTTAGTTTTGAAGGGAGAAAAAATAATGGGAAGAGAAATAAAAAGTAATTTCTAAGTTTAATTTTTGTTCGTAACGGAATAATATAAATCTTACTTGTGTTTGATAGATCAAAGGATAAATTTTTAATTTCTTTTATAAAATAAAAAAGAATTTAAGTGAATTCATTGAGTAACTTTAATGGTAAAGTAAAATGTTGTTCTCCCTAAAAGATTCAGATTCGAACACTTGCATGTAGGATGTATTAAAAAAAATTCACTTGTATTAAAAAAATAAATCATTAGAAAAAATAATTTTAATTATATGAATTCTTTACCCAAAATAAATTATATGGAATTTTCCAACAATACCTTAGTCAAGATCTTTATGATTATAGAATCGAAAGACGTCAAATATAAATTATGGTATTGTTTTATAAATTTAATAGTAAAATTTATTGTATTCCTAATCATAATAAATATGATGGGGAAAACCATGTTGAAAGTCGCAATAAAGAGTGGTTTTGGAACAAAAAAGAAAAGGAAAGACAAGGCATAGTGATTAAGCAAAGCAGGCGCATAAAAGACAGAAAAAGAAAAAGAAAAGACGGTCAAAATGAGAACCTTTAAACCTATCTTTATTGGAACTCACCACTTGCCCTTCTCTTTTACCATTTCCATTTTCTTTTTTCTTTCTATTTTTTCCCCTAAAAATATATCCAAGTTATAATCAAATATGTGCATGCATGAATTGTATCCCATTTAGCTTCTTCTTTGTTTCTTTCCCTCTAGACTATTGATGCTATTGCACGACTCATCAATCAAAGCAAAAGGATATATTTATAAAAAAAAAACCTAATCACGTTATTTAAGTTTCATTTATATTCTATGAATTTAAAATTTAAAAAATAATAAAATATCTTTTAAAAAATATAAAATATTTTGAAGTACTTTATGCTATTTTAAAATTGAGAACTTTTTAGATTATTAAAGTTTTTAATATTAAATATATAAATAATATGTCACATTACATGTTCTTAAAGTCTCACATGATTTTATTTTATTTTTTTTAACTGAAAAATGGTTCAAGATAATGTGTATTATAGTTGAAAAAGTCCAAGGATTAAAATGAACAAAAATATCTTCACCTAATAAAATGACAATGAAATACAATTTTAAAAATTTAATCGTGTAATTAAATATTTTATGAAAATTAAAATTTCATCATTTTCCCAAATATCACAATTTAATTCGATTTGTCACATAATATATAGTATAGATATCATATATATATATGTAATAAATTCATGGAACAAACCAATGAATAAACCCTAAATCAAGAAAAGGATAAACATAATTCATGAAATAAATAAAATATCTTTAACCAGCACACACACAAAACCAAAAGACTAAAGCTACTTGATCTTTAACCTCATTCAACCAAAACAATGTAAAAAAGAAAGGGAGAATATTCAAACATAGATGTAAAGCAACACCAATTTTACTCATGTGTTTTTTGACTGTTGATTCTTCAAAGTATGATTGAAATAGACATGACCGAAATAATTGAGATCTGAGATGGCCCTAGCTTCCATTTTTCAGAATATTCCCAGGAAATGAATGTTACCATTCCTGACGGTCAAGCGAACTCTTTGTCTGTGATCTCCTAGTATTAAGTTGTTACAAGGGTCTTCATCTGAGAAATAAATTCTCATAATATTATTCTTTTCATTCGTACAATTTAACAAAATTTAACTCATTGAGCGACTTTGATAGTAAAAATGAGTGTTGTCCCCTCTAGAAATTTTGAGTTCAAATAATTGTGTTTGTAGGTTGTGTGTACATCTATTGTCAAATGACTAAAAAATTCTGATTAAATTTTATATTGTAATCATTGCAGATTAATAATAAAAATCAATATTATTCTAATTTCTTCACTTTTAACACTAGGCTTTTAGCATTAATAATAACAATTAGTTTTATATAAATTAAAATCCTATTAAGTAACCAACTAGGCTTCTTAGTACCCCTCAATTCTCTAGTGTTTTATTGGTGCATCTTATGTCTTCTTTGGATTCCTTTTTCATAGTTCCTCATAGCTTCAGCTATAGATGATTACTTGAGGTCATGTCTTTCTTTTAGATCCCATTGGGCGTATAGGGGTGGGCTCGACTGAGTGGTGTCAGTGAGACTAGACTTAGAGTTTGTATGTTGAATGTAGGCACATTAAATGCTAGGCTGTTGGAGCTGACCGACGTACTAAGTAATAGGAAAATAGATTTTGCATGTATTCAAGAGACTAGGTGGAAAAGGGCTCGCGCCAGAGAGTGTAACGGGTACAAGTTGTGGTATTCAGGCTTAGATAACGCTAGAAATGGGGTGGGTATCTTGGTATCCTTTAGGCTCAAGGAAAATGTAGTTGAAGTTTGTAGATAACGTGATAGGATCATGATGATTAAGGTCATTATAGAAGCGGAAGTGGTGAATGTCCTTTCAGTGTACGCCCCACACGTTGGCCTAGGGGAGGGGGAGAAACGTTGCTTTTGGGATTCGTTAGATGATGTACTTAGGAGTATTCTAGAGGACCAAAGAGTTTTCATAGGGGGAGACTTCAATGGCCATGTAGGTAGTGAAATCGACAGGTATGACGGCGTTCATAGGGGTTTCAGTTTTGATAGTAGGAACGATGAGGGCATACATTGCTTGAATTTTCTACTGCACACGATATGGTGGTCACCAACTACTTCTTTAACAAGATAGATGTGAACTTGATTACGTTCCATAGCGGGGGACATTGTACCCAAATCGACTACATCCTGGTTCGAAATCGGGATCGATGGGCTTACATTGATTGTAAGGTGTTCCCTGAAGAGGCATGTGCATCACAACATAGATTGTTGGTTTTGGTGTTCTGTGTACGCCTCGGATAGAGCACTCATAGGAGGGCTAAACTAGGTAACCCTAGGATCCTTTGGAAGAACTTACATGGAGAGACAGCTGATGACTTTAAGAGAAAGGTTTTGTCTCATACAGGTTTTGGAACTACAAGCTCAAATAATGCATATATGTTATGGAAAAATATGACAAATTTTATCAGAGAGGTGGGCAAAACCACCCTTGGGTTGTCGACATGGAAGGCCAAGGATCATAAAGAATTGTGGTGGTGGAACGACGAAGTACAAACTAAGGTAAAGATAAAGCAAACTTGCTTCAAGGAGTTGCTACAATGAAATGACGATGAAGAAAGATCGAGAGCTAAACAAAGATACAATGAGGTAAAGCGGGAAGCCAAGAAAACAGTGGCTAAAGCAAAGGATAAGGCATACGAGGAAATGTACAAGAGATTAGACACCAATGATGGACAAATCGACATCTTCAGGCTTGCAAAATCCAGGGAGAATAGGAAAAAGGATATAGGTAGCATTAGGTTTATTAAGGATAACAATGGTGTTCTTTTAGTGAAAGATCATGATATTAAGAGGGTTTGGGGTAGTTACTTCTTTGGATTATTTAATAACGGTGCATGTAGAGATAGTAACATAGATGGGTCAACCGACCATCATACTACGACCAATGACTGCCCTACAAGTAGGATTAGGATTGAGAAAGTCAAAATGGACCATAGAAAGATGGGGAGGGACAAAGTTGTCGGTCTAGATCAAATTTCAATCACTGTGTGGTTGACCCTAGGAGAAGAGGGAGTTAAGTGGTTGACCAATATATTTAATATTATTTTAGAGACTGCCAATATGCCAGAGGAGTGGAGAGAGTCTATGGTGATACCAATCTATAAGAATAAAGGAGATCCCCAACGTTGTGGTAACTACAGAGGTATTAAACTACTCGGTCATCCCATGAAGCTATGGGAAAGAGTGATAGAGGCTAGGTTGAGACAGGTTACTAGGGTTTCGGAAAACCAATTTGGTTTTATGCCAGGCAGATCTACTACGGAGGCGATACATCTACTTCGACGGCTTATGGAGAAATATAGGGAAAAAATAGAGATCTTCACATGGCGTTCATTGACCTTGAGAAGACGTATGATAGCGTACCCTGCGATATGATCTAGAAGACCTTGGAAACGAGACGGATCCCAACTGCTTATATCCGGGCGATTCGTGATATGTACTGTAGATCTACTACATACGTCAGAACTATAGTTGGCGACACCAAGGCTTTTCTGGTGGAAATCAGACTCCACTAGGGGTCGGCTCTTAGCCCTTACATCTTCACCTTGATTATGGACGACATCTATTGTGCAACACCAGATAGTGTTCCATGGTGTATGTTTTTCGCTGACGACATTGTTCTAGTTGCTGAAACAAAAAATGAACTGAATAGTAGACTGACTACCTGGACGACTGCTTTGGAATAAAAAGGTCTAAGGATCAATATTGAAAGACAGTTTTTATGTTCAAACTTCAGTGGAAACCAAAACGATGAAGATGTAGAAGTATGCATCGAAGGACATGTTCTCCCCTCAAAGGATTGTTTCAAGTACCTAGGGTCTATGATACATAAAGATGGGGGTGTAGATGACGACGTAACACACCGTATAAATGCGGGATGACTAAAGTGGAGGGTTGCTATTGGAGTTTTGTGTGACAAGAAGGTTCCTCTAAAACTTAAGGGAAACTTTTATAGAATGGCAATAAGACCAGCGTTGTTGTATGAATCAGAATGTTGGGCAATCAAGAAGGATCACGTAAGGAGGATGGAGGCAGCAGAAATGATAATGCTTCGATGGGCATGTGGTAGGACTATGTGGGACATGACACCAAACTCTGCAATTAGGAGGTCTTTGGGGGTGGTGCATGTATCCGAAAATTTGAGGGAGGGAAGGTTATAGTGGTTTGGGCATGTTCTTAGGCGAAAACCGTCGGATGCGGTCAGGAGTGTAGAGTCAATTACAGTCGACGATGTCAAAAGGAGAGGACGACCAAGAATGAAGTGGGTAGACTGCTTGAGATCTAATTTGAAGGATTTAGCCCTTACCGAGGACATGACCTCTGATAGGAAAGTATGGAGACTAAAGACCAGGGTAGCCGAGTAGTGTGGGTCACAGCCATAGGGTGTAGCATCTCTTTCTTCTTTTTAAATTGCCTTTGTAGTAATTTCCATGACCTATACGTTTCTTTCATTGGATTTTATGAAGGATTAGAACTAGGGTAGCGGAGTAGTGTTGCCTTAGTTTAGGTTCTAACTCATTTAGACTTTATTCCTTCTCGTAGCTTGCTATCGCTGACTTCCGTGTATCTTTCTCTTCATGTTTCCTCTTTTTAAATTTAGCCAGGACTTACGTTTCTGTCTATATACAGAGATTTATGTGCATGGATTACTTCCTATTACAAACGCGTATATGAAGACTATTCAACTATGTATTTATTGATTTATGTATACATGCATTGTATTTTATCTTTATTTTTAATTTTTTGACTGTCGGAGGTCTTCCACGGAAGCTGCTCTTAACCTGGCGTTGGGGGCAGCCTACTACCCTACCTTCCCCTTACCCCATTACATATTGGGAATAGAGTTTTATTGTTGTTGTTGTTGATTGCAGATTAATAAGAAAATTTTAACAAAACTAGAATAATAGTTAATACTTTATTTAGAACATATGGGTATATGATTTTTAATATATGCATATTCAAATTAAATGAATTTCAATAATAAATTGCTTTATTACCAATTACTTTAATGAGGTTTTATTGTTGTTGTTGATTGCAGATTAATAAGAAAATTTTAACAAAACTAGAATAATAGTTAATACTTGATTTAGAACATATGGGTCTATGATTTTTAATATATGCATATTCAAATTAAATGAATTTCAATAATAAATTGCTCTATTACCAATTACTTTAATGAGGTTTTACTCGTCATTTTTAACCGGTTCAACTTAAATTTATTTTGATTCCTAAATAGGCCATCGGACTTTGTATTTTTTTTTTAAAAAAAAAGATGTTATAGAAAGGTGAATGAGATGAGACGGGAGTGGTCAAAGAGCTTTTTCAAAGGTTGATACAACTTTGAATACATATAATTGAGTGAACAGCAATTTTGGATTAGGCCTGCTATGGTTGCAGGTTAACAGGATCTTCTGTTTGCTTTTTACGTGGCTGCACTGCATGTATATGTCCATGCACCAAAACCCTAAAAAAACCAGCGAATTTATTTAAAATCTCAAATTTTCCTTTCTCTGTTTTCTTCCTTTATTATATTTTTCTAATACAATTATTATTTCATTTATCAAGGCTATAAATGTGAAGAGCAGGACACACAGCTATCCCTCAATTCATTCCTTTTTATGGGGTCTAAGCGTTGTATATAAAGAGCCCTTACTTGACCCGTTTCTTCAAGAATTCCTTCCATATCCACTCTCTTGTTCAAGTGCTAGCTATCATCTTTCGATTATTCTAATTAAGTTTAGTACTTCAAATCTTAAATGTTTTCTTTTGAGACATTGTATCGGCTGTTGAGTTAAAATGAATTTGTTTTCAAAAGATATGAGCAGGCCGGGAGATTGGAACTGCAGGTCATGCCAGCACCTGAACTTCCAAAGGAGGGACTCCTGCCAACGCTGTGGGGAATTCCGGTCTGGTGAAAACTTCGGTGGATTCGGCGGTGGGAGGGGTGGCTCCTCTTTTGGATTCACCATCGGCTCTGATGTCCGACCAGGTGACTGGTACTGCACTGCGGGAAACTGTGGTACTCACAATTTCGCCAGTCGTTCTAGCTGCTTCAAATGCGGTGCATTCAAGGACGACTCTGCCGGAGGGTCCGATTGTGATGTTCTACGTTCTAGAGGATTCGGTGGTGGTAATCGTTCCGGGTGGAAATCCGGCGACTGGATATGTACCAGGTGAATGCTTGGTATCTTTTTAAATTCGTAAACATTGATATGACTATGTCTTCATGTTAATGGCCAGCTTTTCCCATACTATAGTTTCTTTTGACTGATTTTAGTACCAAAAAAGAAGTTAGATGTATATATTTGGTGGATGAATGCAGGTCGGGATGCAATGAGCACAACTTTGCTAGCCGAATGGAATGTTTCAGATGCAGTGCTCCACGAGACTTGAGCAACACAACTTCATACTAAAAACATACTATCCAGTTCTGGGTACATTTTCTTTCTTTTCTTTGTAACTCTTAGTTTTTCCCCCCATGCAAATTGATTAGAAATGTAATTAATATGTGGGTCTTGACTTGATTTTGTAGGTGTTGCAAACCAAGTTAAGATTGCGGATTATATTGGTTTGGGGTGTGGTAGAATTCCTAAAGAAAACAAGGTGTGAAAGCACTTTGTTTTGGTCACCGCTACAAGCCATTTGTCCCTAATTAATTACCTCCATAAGAATTACAACACTGTACTACTGCTTTTTGTGATTATGCTGCTTTCTTTCTTTTTATTGGAATGATGCTTTCATTGTACCGTTTGTGTAGTCTTTATCATTATTAGAGAGAGTTTGTTTATTTATGTTGTAATGCTTGGCTTTCTTAAAAGAAGATGATTCTCTTCTCTCATATGCATTGCCATTAACCTTAGTGAAAATTAATGTATGTTATATGTTTTCGATTTTTATCGGTTACGAATATTTTTAAAATTAAAAGATGACAGAACTATCACATAACAACACTGAGGGTTTAAGGCTGCTTTCGACCTGGGATTCGCTTTTTTTTCTCTCCTTCTTATTGGTTCGGAAAGTGCTTTATACAAATCTGAGGATTTAAGGCAGCTATGATAAGGAATAAGAGTTTAATAATATGTTATATTATTTAGGTAAAAATCCCAGGAATCTTTATAAGCTTTACGTTGAAGCCTTAAGGCCATACTATATACCATAAAGCTCCACCCTCATTTTCTAAAACAGAGAGATTGTACAGTTTTATGCTATGGAAGGCTTTAAATATTTTAAGAGTTTTTATGTTATTTTAATATTTGAAATTTAATTTTTATTATTCTTTAGACATTGTTCTTGTAACTTTTTATTTAAAAATATTATCCCTCCTTTAAATTATATTTAGCTCTTGATCCAGCAATTATACAAAATAAAATAACTTTTAAAATTTTATACGTTTATAATTCTCATCCATTAACTCTTGATCTTTAAAAATAATAATATCATTAATTGAATAGTATAATTTTTCGATCACTTAGAACTTTTAATGATTAAATAGATAAAAAAAAATTAAAATTTTAAATAAAAAATAATATAAAATTCTAATATCACAAAAAATATGGAATCAACTTTTAAATTTTATTATATTATAGAAAACTTTGGTATATTTAAATCATTACGTTTAGTCATTGCATGGCATACAAGAACACACCATGACTAGTTGCTCTCTCTTTTGTCTTCGAACTTCTTTTATATTTTTATTACTAGTTGTGGCACCAATCTGTTATTGATGGCTGATTGTCAATATTTTATTTTTTAATCTCTTCTTCCTCTGTAATCTATCTGTATTATTTTTACTTAATTGTTTTTTCTTTTTTCTTATGAAAGTAATAGATGATTTTTGCTCCTTTTATAGTATTTTTTGTCCACTTGAGTAACTTGTTTTTTTTCCTTCAATTTCTGAGATTGGATGTGACTCTATCTCTCCAGAGATCCAGATGACTAAAGATAAGCACACACAATCACTAACGATAGGTAGTCATTGAATTGTGGTAATGCCAATTTGTTAACAAGTCATTATTGTATAAATTCAAATGGTGTTTAATTGGATATCATATTGATTTATCCCTTCTTTAGATCATCAGACTGGATATTGATAGATCATAGTTGAGTTATGATAATGTTAATTTGTCTACAGAGCATCATTATTATATGCATTTTCTATATATTGGTATTGTTGTGTTTATCATCATAGTGAATAATGGTGTTTGTTTGTATATATCATTTGTATGAGTTGTATGGTTGAGTTTTTTAATCCGTTATATTTAAGTCTTTTTTATTCTTAAATAACTAGTTTATGCACTTTGATGATTTTAGGAAAGATGATGGGCTTGTGTGATTAATTTATTTTTATATCTTTTTACATTTCTTCCTTATTTAATAAAATTAACTATTAATAGTAATAAAAAAACACAACTAAAAAATAAAAAATAGAATAAAAGTTTAGAATGGAGAGATAGTTGCGGTGCGAAAAGGCAAGTATATTCATAACGTAGAATCACATAGGATTCTCTTTTATTGACCTATTCTCTCTCTAAAAGTTATTATGCACTGGGTTTCTTTTAAATAAAAAAGCAACAATATATTCTTTAATGTTGTAGCTTACTCTTCCCCTCCATTAATAAAATTCATGGCTTGAAAATAAAATTTATCTTCCAACTCGACGTGTTCGGGCTACCCTCCCAATTCTAAAGAATTTTGTGAACTTGGATCGACATGGTCCAACCTAATAATACTTTTAAACAACAGAATGGGTCACTATGTTTGCTCCATTTTATCATTGTTTCTTTCAATAAAGTTTTGGCCCAAACATGCTCTCTCAGTTGCAACATACATGTTTATTTATGATGATTTGTGTTTCGATATTCATTGGTTTATATAACCAGATCTTCAATTCATTCATACAGTCATATATGATGTTCATCTGTAACTTACGTTCTTTACATGTTTATGAAATTTTGAGACTTGAAAATTTCCGAAATCAAAAACTGTGAAGTCAACATAAATCTGGTTTGCAGAGATCAATCCAAATCGGTAAGGACAACATGAACTACAATCGTACGATGTTATCCATGCATGTTTTATCAGATCTATATGTTGTTTTAGGCGCAAGTTGTTTTGTGATGAAGGTAAAGCTCAGAAGTTGTTATCAAACAGAAAATGCAACCAAATAAACCACATAAATATGTTGGAAAAGATGTCTAGTTTCCACAACAATCTGAACAAAGACCACTTCTTACTCGTAATTTTCTCTCTACTTTCTCTTCTTAAGAGACACAAATACTGCAGAACAATATCGGGATCGTTTTCAGAACATAATCCCCAAGAATAATGATAAGAAAACTTGTAACCAAAAGAAGAGGAAAAAAATCACAATATTAAGTATGCGTAAAACTACAAATCGAGCTGCTTTTATGTACCTTCCTGCACAGCTTGCTGTGCCCACTTGATGGTCGACCTGGCCAACGCATCCATCGGATCAATACATTTCTTAAGAAGTGGATCATTCTGAGGCAAAAGATTGCGCATGTCATCGGATGCTAGGATAACGGTGTTAACCGCCCTCACCAGAAGAACTTGGAGAGCAATTCTCAGTAGATTCCGTGCTCCTTCCATGTCATTTCTATTTAGAGCATCCATGGCCGGGATTACAGTGTGTTCCATGGTTGCTTTATCTGGCAGCACAACCTCAAACCCCTACATGCACATATTGAAGTAACAAATAAGGGCTCACAATTGTCAAAGCTGGTATAATATGGGTTTAAGATTTTTTGGGTCCGAAAGTCTTATCGACTTAAAGGTCCATAACTAGTATAATAATGAAATCATCTGTCCATTACCTCGGCATCCTTTTCTCGTACCAACAAAAATGCACAACTAAGACTTGAATTTATGACCAAATTATCAATATTGAAAATCTTGGTTGCAGTTGAAGAGACCAACTTGCCTCAGTCATGAACATAAAAAACATACAACGTTAGTCTTTATTTTGAACCTTATAGATGGTCTAATCATATTTTCAAAATCAAAAGCATTCAAAGCAAATAAGGTCAACCATGAATGATCTTCTTACCTAGCTAAAATGTTTCTTCTTTTTCTTTAACTGAACAATTATGATCAGTTTTTTAGTTTGGTACTTGGAACTCAAATTCTCCTAGTATACATTCTTTTCTCAAACAGGACAAGAACATATATACAAACATTTTCCCTAGATGGATGCATTGAGCTTACTTCCCAGGGCAGAACACTTACCTCATCCTGCAGTTTCTCTTGATAAAACCCTGCTTTTAGAGTTGCATCAGTGCCAAGTACTCCTATTCGCAAAGGGCTCCCGGCTTCCAGCGGCTTCAACTTGGCTTCCTTAAGCTCCCTGGCAACACACTCGCCAATGTGAAGGGAATGAACAGAACATCCCTTAAACACTTCATAATGCCATGAGTGTGATATATGACAAGGCACTACAATGCAGTGAGCTCCTGATTTCTCGAGGAAATCCCTTTTACTCTGCAGATTTTCGACAATCCGGGTATTATTGAATTGCGAAAGTTCATTTCTACTGCAAAGGGAAGAACTTTTCTCCAGCGATGAAAGCTCCCTATTCAACGCCGGATCAGAACAAACAACAAATGGTATGCATTTCTCTTCGTTCTCTTTGCTGAAATGCACTAATTTTCTCAAGAAATTTAGAGTAGAATCAGCAGATAAGCCTCCAATTATTCCCACAGTATTAGGAGCAGTAAGCAAGGACCCACCAGAGCTGCTTAAAGAAGTAGGGTTTTTCCTAGATTCAGGAAAGTTCCCACTTTCATCAGTGTGTAAGATCACTGAAGAAGGGGGCATAGCAAGAAGTGGATTCAACCTTTTATTACAAAGGTTTCTCTGCCTAATTATGCAGCCTGGGTAATAAGATGGGCAATTCAATGACATTTGCAAGCTTCTATCCAACATCTTAACATGTAATTATGTAAAGTATCAAATTAATCATACATCGAAACCCACCTCTAGTATTTCTCCCAAAATTTCTATCTTCTACAACCAAACCCACTTACAGAGCCAGCTAAAAGTTCAATTTTGAGCCTTCATAAACATCAACAAACAAAAAAACAACCTCTTTTCTCCTTGTAAGTTTAATTCCCAAAAGGCAAAACTGCTCTAACAAAGCAAATCCGTTTTAGCAACCCAAACAGAAAAACAAAACCCAGGAACTTTTGTCATTCTATGATTCTAGAGTTCAAAAAAGAACAAAAAACCAACAAAGGCAAATTGAATACAGAAACAAGAGAGAGAAAGAGAGTTTGAAAATGTGAAGACTGTGTTGATGTGTTACCAGTGGTTTAGAGATGAAAAAGGAGTTTACAGCGAGTGGGGAAAGGATCTTTGTGCTTTTGGGGTATAAGGATTACTCTCTAACACACATTTTTCTACTATATTAGAAAGTTGAAAGAAAACCAAGTATGCCCGTCATCTTGTGCTTGTAGTCTGTAGAATGTGCAATTTGGTAGGCTCGCAAGTGGTGGGGACCTCGTAGCAGAGGCCAAATTGAAAAATATGTGCACCCAAAATTTTGTTGAAAGAAAAAACACTCTAGTAAATGTAAACGTGTGTTAATTATAAACACAATATTAATGTTGGATAAACTCTAAGTTCCAAGAGAGGAGTAAGAAGACAATATTATGGATGTGTGTTAATATTAATTCATTTTACTTATAAAAAAATAAAATAAAATAAAAATCTATTAAGTGATTTTAATAATAAAGAAATTATCGTTTTTTTTAAAAATCTTGAATTCGAATAGTTGCGTCTGCAAAGTGTATGCATCATCAATGGATTAAATTTTTTTTGAATAAATATTATCTTATAATCACTTTATACTATTAAAAAAATAAAATGAAACAATTATAAAAATTTAACTGATTTGAATTTTTTGATATATTCTGCAAGACAACATTTTAATTATATACATTACATTTTATTTGAAATATTATTTTTATAATATTTTAATTTAAAGGTGGATAATATTAATAAAATAAATAAATAATATAAAAAATTGAAATTCTAAGATAGATACATACCGACTTTGTTGGGTTGAAGTGTAGACTTGCAAATATTGTTTGTTCCCTTTACTTATCCGAAACATATTTCACAGATGTCACCCATTGTAGGGTAGTTCTGCGGTGCGGTGCCTAAAAAACGGCTAATATACGGCGTGATCGGTTAAACAAGTGACCGGTTAAAATTTAGACCGGTTATGTTATATTATTTAACCAGAAATATTATAAAGTACAATAACATACTAGGTAGTGCTTATATAATGTAATAGGTAGCGCTTATATTTACCTATTTTATAAGTAAACCGGTATATTTATACCGATAGCATTGTAAATTTACCTATTACATTATAATATGTTGAAAGTGTCCATACTTTTTTATAAAAAGGATCGATACTTTGTTTAAAGTTATGTAATTTATGTTTCATTTTTTTAATAGTGTTTCATGTTTTCCACCTACAATATGAATTTAATAATTTCATTTACACAAAAAATTATTTGATTGTTTTGATATTTTATAAAATAATATTTAGAATTTTTAATTTAATAATAATATATATCGTAACGTAAAAAATAAATCATTAGACGCTTATAATTACTAAATTAATATCTTAAAACTCACTCAAAAGATAACCTTAAATTAATGTTTTCCACAGTGAAAAAAGTATAGGCACTTTTATAAAAAGGATAGATACTTTACAATATAACCACTAACTATTACATTATACAAACGATATCTATTACATTATATAAGCGCTACCTATTACATCATATTTTTACCTATTATATTGAAAGTGTCCATACTTTTTATAAAAAGGATCGATACTTTGTTTAAAGTTATGTAATTTATGTTTCAATTTTTTTTAATAGTGTTTCATGTTTTCCACCTACAATATTAATTTAATAATTTCATTTACACAAAAAAAAATTATTTGATTGTTTTGATATTTTATAAAATAATATTTAGAATTTAAATTTAACAACATTAACCAAAGATAATAATAAATATGTAATATATATGTTTATTGTTTTTAATTTAATAATAATATATACTGTAACGTAAAAAATAAATCATTAGACGCCTATAATTACTAAATTAATATCTTAAAACTCACTCAAAATATGTATATACATAAATATGTAGTTATTGTATATACCTAAATTTAATGATAATATATACTTGTAGTTATTGTACATACCTAAATATGTACTGCGAATTTAATGTTGTACCCACCCTTTAACTACCACTACCAATGACACATCCTATTGAAAGTAGCACGACTGAAACATGTTTTTGAACCTTTGCTTACATCTCCATCAACTCCTGGAGCACTGAACTTGCACAACAAAATTTTACGATGGATAATACTGATGTAGACAATGTTAAGCCAACCGAGGAATGCCATGAAGTACATAATGTTGATGAATCTGACAGATTGGTTGGTCAGCTCTTCTGTTCACGTGATCAAGCTTGGCACTTTTACAAGGGATTCGCACGGGAACATGGGTTTAGTGCACGTAAGGGAACAACACGGCTTGACGTGGAAGGGAATGTGAAGACACAAGAATTTTATTGTTCCAAAGAAGGGTTTCGAGTATCAAAAGTCAATACTGTTGATCGTCAAGGTGCTCATACGCCAGTCACAAGAACAAGATGTAAGGCTAGAGTTGTAGTTACAGCAACAAATACAAACGATCAGTGGGTTATAAGTAAGTCTGATCAGAAACATAATCATGCATTGTGCACACCTGCTATGACACCATTTATGCGTTCTAATAGAGCTGTAAGTAAGGCTGATATCGATGAGGCAACAACATTGAAAGAGGTCGGTGTTGGCACGTCACAAGTAATGAACTATTTAACGCAGCAGGCAGGGGGCTATCATAATGTTGGATTTACAGATAAAGACCTCTACAATGCACTTCAAAGAGGTAAAGCAAAGGAAATCGTCGATGAGGATGTGAATGCGCTTATTGCCTACTTTGATTATAAGAAACATGATGATCTCGGGTTTTTTATGACATACTCGGTAGACGAATCGGGGGCATTGTATAATCTTATTTGGTCGGATTCTACATCGAGATCGGATTACACATGCTTCGGTGATGTAATTGCGTTCGACACAACGTACAAAGATAATTTGTATGGTCGACCAATTATGCCTATTGTTAGTGTCAATCATCACCATAACACAATTGTGTTTGCCAATGCCATAATCGCTGACGAGACGTCTCAATCTTTTGAGTGGGTGCTACAGAATTTTTTAGAAGCCATGATGAATAAATCACCTATTTCCGTTGTAACCGATGGGGATAGGGCAATGCAGAGGGCTATCAAATCTGTTATCCCTTATGCTAAGCACAGATTATGTTCTTGGCATCTTTCTCGCAATGCACAAGCTAACATTGGTGACCCAAAGTTTACAGCAGCATTCTCAAAATGCATGGCTTCCTGGTGGACAACCAAGGAATTTGATATTCAATGGCGTTCGGTTGTTTCAGAATTCAACGTCCAAAAGCATCAATGGGTGATTGAGAAGGGAAATACACGACACTTATGGGCACAAGCATATATAACCGGTCATTTCTTTGCCAATATTCGCTCAACACAAAGGTGCGAGTCTATGAATGCTTCACTAGCTATTGCACTGAAACACAATAAGACATATTTAGATGTTGTTCGTGCAATTGAAGATGGAATTAGTAGAATGTGTATGAACGAGTTGAAAGCGGATTACTTAAGTTCCCATACGAAGCCCTTCCAGATCACAAAACTGGTCGACCTTGAAAGCCATACCGCTGCGATTTTTACCCGCGAATCTTTTCGTGTGTTCCAAGATGAACTTATACGGGAGACATTGTACCGGATTGAGGCAGAGATTAAGTCCTTATCAGATGAATGTCAACATTATATTTTGTCAAAGTACGCAGAAAAAAATAGGAAATTTGAAATTAGTTTTGATTCTCATACGAAAACTCTAATTTGCTCCTGCAAAAAATTCGAGACCGTTGGACTTCCGTGTCGCCATCAACTTCACATTTTGAAGCAATTGAACTACACATATTTGCTCGGGACTTTGATTCAAAGTAGGTGGACTAATGATGCGAAGGCTTCTGCACCCAACTATGTTGATTTGAATGTGTCTCCAGAAGTGATGCAAATGGCAAGGTTCGCTGCTCTACGTTCAACGTCAAGTGGGTTATGCTACATTGCATCAAAGACAGACGAGTCTTTCAAAACCGCAAGAGATGAGATGAAAAAACTAATAGAAGAATTAGAAAACTCGTTTGGTTTGAATCATTCAGTCGACCAGAGCATTGTAGTAAACAATGTTCGTGACCCTCAACGAAAACAACGCAAGCGAAAAGAAGTGCCGAAGAACAAGGTCGAGAAGAAAATTAGGCGATGTGGGTACTGCAACGGTGAGGGACATAACAAACTAACATGTCCTCAAGTCAAGCTCAGTTTGAGTACAAGCACACAGCCTACATCAACTGATTTTTTCGAAGACGGAATGGAATGACAACGATCTCCATATATCGTAAGTATCAACATGACTCCTATTGTATGTACATATAAATATTTTGAATGAAGGAAGAAAAACCGCGTTACTTAAAATTACCGACACTTTTTTAAATGGTATCGACACATTTTTCTTCCAATCTGGACATAAAGTACCGACACAATATTAGAAAGTGTCGATATAGGTTGTAGACCTGTTCGCTCATAAAACCGGTATATTTATACCGGTTATATTACAAAATTATCTATTACATTATAAATCTGGGTTCCGATGTGTAAATGTCGACACTTTTTTAAATGGTATCGACACATTTTTCTTCTAATCTGGACATTAAGTACCGACACAATATTAGAAAGTGTCGATATAGGTTGTAGACCTATTCGCTCATAAAACCGGTATATTTATACCGGTTATATTACAAAATTATCTATTACATTATAATTCTGGGTTCCGATGTGTAACTGTCGACACATTTTGACAATGTATCGACACATTTTTCTTCCAATCTGGACATAAAGTACCGACACAATATTAAAAAGTGTCGATATAGGTTGTAGACCTATTCGCTCATAAAACCGGTATATTTATACCGATAGTATTGCAAATTTACCTATTTTAATATAATATGTTGAAAGTGTCCATACTTTTTATAAAAAGGATCGATACTTTTTTTAAAGTTATGTAATTTATGTTTCAATTTTTTAACATATATATTACATATTTATTATTATCTTTGGTT